ATAAATAAACAAATAAATATATGTAAATGAAATTAGCTGTCATGAATCCTGTTAAAAACAGTGAAGCAGACTTGAGCTGTATGAATTAAGAACTTAAAACTGCAAAAATATTAATCTCTGATGTCTTCATATATTATATGCAAGACATTGATCATTAGCATTGTAATTACACCAGTTTTTGTGGCTCTTCTATAAACACTCACAAGACACATAAATATGTAATTAAACATGTGAGTCTTACTCCAGATTTTCTGTTAGGGAGAGTTCTTGCCGCTGAGTGAACATTTCACATGGAGTCTAGGGAGTCTCATTTCTCTTGACTTTGCTTGTCTCAAGTGTAGAATCTTACACCAAAGTCTAACTTGAGTCACTGAGACCATTATTTTTTTATGTGGCCAGAGGGATTACATGTGACACAGTCCATTCTCAAGCTTAGGTTTCCTGGCTGGCAAATAAGTACTTGTTTTGCTTTCACCCTGAGTCAAAGAGCTAAAATCAATCTAGTTTTTGAGATGAAGGAATCTGGGACTCCAAACTGACAGGACAATACAGATGCACACAGTAAGACCTTCTTAAGTGAAACCACTGAGCATACTTAGTGACAGGCAATTCTACCTGTTTCACTGATTCTTATAAGCAATCAGCTATTTTAGAATTGAAAATTAACCATCCTTTAACTGTAGGTCTCAGATTCAGTCAAAGTGAAAAACAGAAAGTTTCTAACCAGGCAGAAGCCTGGGAATCTGTTGGAAAATAATGTAAATACGGTCTTTTATCTCTTGTTCACATTGTTTATAGTTAAGTTCTATCACTGTGCGCCATGCACTCTGCACCAATGGTGTGGGTTTTCATTTCAGGACCAATGGAATTGGTCTGGGCGAAGCTCTGTATAAAGAACGATGCATTTTGAAATAAATCCGAATTTTACTCTCAAAAGCCTTCTGCGCAGAGTCTCTTCATTCCCACCCTGCCTCAGCATCGTCACTTTAACAACCAGCTTTTTATATTCTAATATGTTTACTAGAACATCTCTATACTTTTGTAAGCTTTCTATTTTATATACTAGGGCCTTCAAACCACTTAGGATGTTGCAGTTAGGGTTGCTAGAGAAGCAGCAAAACTCAGTAAAGCAGAAGTGTCTCGTGCTCTATATATATATAGAGAGAGCTTCTCATGTGTAAGCAAATGCCTGCAGAACTTAACCATCTTACTTCTGTGTCCTGGTTTTACCATACTGCAAAGATTCTTGTCCGCCATCAGTAAACTGAGACACACAAGCTGCCAGGCAGCCCAAGGAACCAGCTTCATCAAAACTGTGTATGTGGCAAAAGCTGACCTTGACAGCTTTTTGACCTTGAAATATTCAGTACCATGGAAAATTTAGGTGCATATGCAGAAAAATGTCAAAGATGAATTACCTTTTATTAGTGTATAGATCATTACTTGTTGTCCTTGCTTTTCTTTCTCCCTACCCATGTATACAAACACAAATTTCAGCACAGATGATGGAGAAAGCTTGGGAAAGCCTGGTATCTTGGAGAGGAATACCTTGACCCAACTTTGTCTGAAGTCCCTGAAGGATAATAGCTGTTTAAGCAGTGCTGGTTGTGCAGGATGTGTTCTGAGGTGAAAGGATCTATTTGGAGAGGACAGCCAGGGACAGTAGAGAGCCTGACAGCTGGTCATACATATCCAAGAGCAATTATACTGCACTATATGCAGTAAACAGTAGACATGCCAAACTCAAAGACTATCTCTCCAAAACTCAAAACCAATATATTCCTACAGAAATCAGATAGCACCAAATACATACATGTCAATAATTTTAAAATGTTTGGAGATGCTTTTACGTAATCTTTCATTTTTAAAATAAGGCAGTTAATTTACTTTTTTTTTTAATTGTTGCTCTTGCCTGCATATCTTGTGGTTTCTTTCAATTAATTGCAGTCTTGCACATTCTCAATAAGTACAATTCCCCTGGAAACAATATTTTTTTTCCATATACTGTCTAGCAACTCCTCTGATTGTCTAGTTCCGAAAAAGGAAACATTAGTCATGTATTTTCATACTGACAGTTTCTAGGCAAGAAGAAGAAAAGGCTTCTGTATTTCACTGAATTGAACTCTAATCTAAAATGTGATGGACAATAGATGTTTATAAAAGAAAGTGAGACTGCAATCAAGACACAGTGATAAACAGGCTTACTACTGTGGCCCTAGAACACCAGACCTTACATATTAGTCATTGTTCATCTGCCATTAAATAGATGAATTATTTTCAAGGAAAATAAATTAAAAAAAAACAACCAACCAACAAACAAACCAAACCAAACCAAACCAAACCAAACCAAACCAAACCAAACCAAACCAAACCAAAAAACAAGCCAGACAAGCTACAAAACTGGCTTTGAGATAGTTTTGCATTTGTAACAGCATTGGAGAAATGTCCCAGGACAATGACAGTGATGTTGCTGGAAAAGCTTTTTCAAAACTAAAATTAAGTGCAAAAATAGTCTTCTCATCTGACACTTATTACTGGAAACAAAGAAATATTTTTAGAAACTTTCTGGATTAAAGAAACATGTAAAATATTGACAGAATATTAATCTGGACAATAAATTAGCATTTATTTTTAAAAAATTCTATCTCAAATTACTATTGCAATTTTTTTACTGAATAAACATTAATTTTAGCATTTCTTTGTATACAACACTCTGAAGTTTCTCAGCACAGTTGCTCTACTTTAGTAGTGGGTAGATCAGTATTTTACCTCCGTTGTAGATATTGGTTTGTGATGCTGTTGGGTTCTTTAGGAACAAAAATAAATTATGCTTTTTTAAGAGATCATTGGAAATCCAGTGGTCCCCCTACTCACTTGAGCTCTCTTTTAAGTTTTATCTTTTTATTTGGTTAGATAAATTTTTAATTTTCTATTGTTATAGCAATATTGCAGTGTTTTCATATACATAAGATGTACCCATTCTCCTTGTATAAAGTTAAATTATTTTATTTACCTTCTCTTCTTTCTCTGTGATTGTACTTATCAGACACTTAATTGATGTCACTTCTCAGGGGAGCTTTTTCACTGATGGTCACATGCATTTTCTTGGTCAATAAAATGCCAAACCATATATATGAATTTTTTTCTGAAAACAAAATACAAAATTTAGTACTTATATTTCAAGAAGATTTTCAAGAAGGAAATAAGCTAAAAGTGAAAGCTGTGGATAATAAGAATTTGATGTACTGATATAGAAATAAATGGTCTGGGGGACTTTTGTGGCACACAAGGTCTTTCCAGGTGGCATGCTTGAAATTTAGAGATACATATCAGGTTGTCAGCTCTGTCAGGATCACATGTTCTGGATGTCAAGGATGGGGAGCTCAGAGGAAAGATTTAACAACTGATCCTTGATATGTGCACCGTGAAAATTTGGTCTCTTAATGACAAAACAAAGGTGCCTTTTCTACCTTCTTCCTACTGTAATTTCAGATTTTCCAAAGACCTTTAGTTGTGCTGTCATTCTTGAAATACAGAGTCCTGCCAATTTATCTGTCAAATGTAATTTAAAAAAAAAAAAAAAAAAAAAAAGAGCAGTCCAGTTGAGTTTGTTGAATACACAGTTTTAAGACAACAGCAGTAAAATATTTCCTGTATTCTGGAACTGTTCTTTGTAGTTACATATTCATGTAATTTTTTTTAGCAGCTCCACCTCCTCCATCAGAGGCATTTCTCAGATGAGTAAAATATGAATGATAAATTAGTTGAAGGTTTATGATATGTTCCTCTCCTTGGCAAAGGAGCCAAAATTTTGTCATCTTTTAAACATAAGATCCATCTCTTAATTCAAGTCTACCTTTAATATCAGAGAATGATCACAAGGCTTTTGTCAGAAAGACAGATGACCAAAGGAATTTGTAGATTTAAAAAAATTAAAAGTATAATAAGGGTGGAAATAGATTGTCTTTCTTGACAGCAATTACACATTCTCATTTGGAAGAACTGTATATCACTAAATGAACTAGGGTAATTTTCTTACGCGCATAATCCTTACACAGCAGAAATCTCATTCGCTAAGAACCACTACACAAAAGTGCACAGTTCCTGCATTTGACCTTTCTTTCAAGGGTTATCAAGAGGTCTTCAGTCTCCTTTGTTATATCTCCACCCATTCAAGAGATCTTTTGAGCTCCTGTCTTGAAATTTAGAACATTCATTAGGCATGGACTGTTCAGTGCAGAATAGGAAAAACACGACATTTGACATTTTTATCATAGGTCACTAAAGGTCATTTCTCTAGAAATGTATAATATCAAGCAGGAAGTAGTCATAAGCATGAAGTCCTCAGCCTGAAGTCACAAGCTCATTTATTATCTTTAAATAATTTTAGTAGACTTAGCAACTGTGTCATTGATAATCATATTCTGTCTACTCAATATCAGAGACATTTGCAAAATAATCTCCCAAACAATGTATGACAGGCATTTATTCATCACACAGAGAAAATTTGCTATTGTGTTATCAAACACCATCTAGACATGTTTTGATAGATGTGCTCCAGGTGCATGGCAAAATCATGTTTGGGTGATCTGTATGTTTTGCTGAAGTGTATCCCTCATTCTTAACCAAGAGCATTCCCCTGGCTATACTGATGGTACAGGTATACCTTTCCAGTGACCTTGCCATTATATAAAATTATTATGATTTTACTGGTTTCTTATGAAATAGCAGAGGAATAATTTGGTTATTACATAAGTGTAATATTATTACAAATACTATATATATAATATATGGTATTATTTAACAGTAAGACCTTATTGCTTTTCAAAGCTACCCTTTCAAAGAGCTCTACTGCTCTCCTGTTGTAATCTTGCTTTTATATTTATTTTTATTTCAACATTCACTTCATCTAAACAGGTTATCAGCCTGGTCCAAGATGTCATGGGTGATTCACAATTTATATAACTCCAAAAGAAAGCTTTGTCTTTTCTCTTTTTCAGTCAAAGACTCACATCAACCAAGGTATACTCCACTGCTATGCTGAGTACAGAGACATTCTTTTAACCCACGAACCACCAACCATTTTTACCAGTGGCTTCACCTGCGAGGAGATGGGAGCACTTCTAGGGAAAAGGAGTGGCAAGATTAGATGACAGAAGACTTCTCTCAGGTTGGGGAACTGGTGTTCAAATTCTTGATTCCAGGAAGACACAATGAACTATTCACAGAATGTCTGTGAAAGGGAAATGCAAAATAAAAGGGATATTCAATGGAGCTTGAAATCAGGTATTATGAAGTGGTCTTAAAGGAGATAATTTTGATTTTCCATAATGAAAAGGTTTCAGTGGCTATGAAGAAGAGGTTTTATTTACATAAAATCTATTTATAAATCTTTGAATTTTATCTGATTAGGCAGTACATTTATTGTGCACACCATTTCTATTGTGTAAGGAACTGTGGTATTTCTTTTATGTTGTTCTTTGATTAAACATCTCTCAAATTATTAGGTCAGCAGAAGACATTTTTACTCACAGCCTCAGAAATGTGATAATTTATATATAAATGATTATTTATACAACATTACTTATGATTAGTGGGATTCTGAAATTAAGAGGGCTAGATGAGTCTGAATTTTTGACTACCACCTTTGAAATAATATGTGGTTAGAAATTAATTTGTTGGTAGCTACAGAGCAACTGGAGAGATGGAAGGTTGTTTTACTGTTAGCATGCCTGTGGCAACTTTACTGTAGCTGCCTACTTCTAAATGGAGCAAATGTTTTATTATGTTTGCTAGTGCCTAAGCCCCACAAAAGAAAGATATAGGAACTGCAGCAGCAGATGGCTAAGGCTGTGTGACTACCAGTGGTTTTGTGTTATTATTTCTATCAATGAATGAACTTTTAAGTTTGTGTAGTGCAATTCCGGTCATGCTTATTCTTATTGTGCTGCTATATTAGAACTTCATATGAAAGCCTGTTCATAAGTGGCAATTTAAACAGTAGAAGTTGGGGTATTTGCTGCCTGTGTTATTACTGAAAATGAGGATTCTTCTCAATGTTATTATGTGTACAACCCACTTTCAATTACATTTTTATTTAATTTTGGTAGTAGAAATAACACTGGAATTGTGGGGAGCATCAGCAGATGTTTTTCCTGTCCTACTCAATAAACAGTCTATATTACAATCTAATTACTGTACCATCTACCTTAAAGGAGACTGAAACAAGGTGAGAGTTGACATTATTTCCCAGGCAATTTGTTACAGGACAAGAAATGACATTAAAGGTGCACCAGGGGAGGTTCAGGCTGGACATCAGGAAGAACTTATCCACAGGAAGGGTTGTCAAGCACTGGAATGGACTTCCCAGAGAAGTGGTGAGGTCACCAGCCCTGGAAGTGTTCAAGAAATGACTGAACATGGCATGTAGTGTCCTGATTCTGAACATGGCATGTAGTGTCCTGATTTGCTTGATAAGGTGGTGTCTGATCAAAGGCTGGACTCAATGATCTTAGAGGTCTTTTCCAACCTTAATGATTCTATCATGTTTTTGCCTGGCCCATAGACAAGAAATCCTCTTCACATCTATTTCTCTCTTTCCTTATCTCTTCTCATTTCCTGCTCACCTCTTCATTAAGTAACCTGATCAATCTCCTCCTGGTGCCCCCCAAAACAAAAGAAAAAGGGCTCACACTGAGTTCTGCAGAAGTATCGTCCGACTTGCCAGTGCAGCATCTGTGTGATATTTTCAGCAATTTGATGTTTGAACTTTAGTAGGTTTCAATAGATCTATTCTTGTGACACTAATGATCAACTCTCACATCAATTCCTCACTAGCTGATGAATAAATCAACAGTTTATACCCCTCATGGCTCATGTAAATTTACTTCTATGAGCAACACAATAGCATAATCATTAAGAAACTGTTGCTCCCTGCATGAATTATACTCAGAGCATCTTCTACTTTTTAACATTTCAATGATGAAGAGTTGATTCTGAACAAATACTAGTAGTGGAACATACTATTTAAGTTTTCCTTAAAATGTGCTTTGTAAGACCCTTTCCTAACCTGCAAAGTTTTAAACAATTAAAATGCCCAGGTGTAATGCACTACTGTTTCATGGAACAATGAGGCTGAATTCTAAATAAAACTACTCTTTGTCCACATCCCTGTACTTTGTAGTCTGTTCAGAACTATTCCTATTCAGTTAGAATTAATTCAAGGTCGATTTTCCTCAGACCAACTATTGGGTTGTTCATTTGTTGCTTAAAAAAAACAGAACCAAGACAGAATCTATAGGTTTGACAGTGTCCCATCACTGTTGATGCAGGTGAGATAGCCTGTTCAGGCCCGTCTTTATAGATATCATACTCAGGACAATATGTTGGTCCTCTCAAAATAAGAGCGAGTCTATTGCTGCTCATATTTATACCAATACTACCTATTTGAGGTCTAGAACCAGTTTTAAAGCACTAATAATAAAGACTTGAAAACTGACATCCATCTTCTTCCTGAAGACAAAGTGTTAAAAATATGTAAAGAGATCTTTTGGAAAAATTACACTGACTAATGAAAATGTAACTTTTTCCCTGAACATCCAAGAATTCTTGACTTATTAAAATATGCAAATCACTCTAGCACTTTGTTTAATTGCTGTTCCCTTAAACCCATCAAATCTTCTTAATTCTTCTTTTCTTTGTCCTTAATTAACACCCGTTCCCTATTGGCTAAAGTGTAACCCAGAAGACCTAAGCTTGTGAAATGCTCAACTTATTAAACCTAATTGCTATAATTATTAGCAACCATTGGCAAAATATTCACAAAAACCAGGAATTCATCTAATTAACAATCTCAAAACACTAAGCATTAGCTACTTGATATTTTCCCTACCACTTCATGCCTTCCTTTCTGGAGATCTATGACAAGAAATAGGATAGGTACTTTTCTTAAAAATATGAATTTGTTGAACTGAAAATTTTCATTACAACAACCAGTCACTATTTTAAAAACTTCATTTAAATTTCATTACTCAGACCCGATAGAATTTCCTGACAAAGGAGAAATTAAAAAGAGAGAACAGGTCAGGTATCTCATATATTCTGCAGGACAAGGGTGATGAACAGAGTAGGAGTCCATGCAGAAGCATCCCTTAACTAACATGAAAACGATCTTCACAAAGCTAGTGGTTAGTCTGAAGTTTTTTCTCTTGGAATTTGTATGATGTACTCTGTTGTGAAAGATATTATGATGTACAATCACATCTTAATTGTGATTAATTTAATTGTGATTTAACTGTATGAAAGTGGTGAGTTTATCTGATTTGGAACAGAACTATTCTGGAATTCTCGGAGCTGTTTGTAATTTAGGAGAAAATTGTTTGGTGTATGGTTTGATACAATTGGCATCTGATACAATTTCTGCAATTGGTTGCATACTTAGATAAAATAGAATTCCATAATATAATTAGTTACATAAGGTATTGAAAAGACCTTATACAGAAAAAAAAAATTAATTTTTGTGACAAAAGGAGTTCTTTCCTGAGTAGAAATATTCAGAAATTTAAAACAATTTTAACCATAGATGGTTTTGCATTTGCATTTACTTTTTATGGAACAAAACATAGTTTTGGAACAAGGCACACCATTTCCATAGGCTATTCCCATCTGAAATTCCCCTGTCTTTTGGAATTTGTGTGCATGAGAAAAGTAGAACAAAATATTTTATTCCCATTTTAAATGCCAAACTCCTAAAATAGAATTACAATTCTAAGGAAATGGTTTTTTTTCCAGAATTTTGCCCTCTGAGACCGATAGTCCCTCATGAAAAGCCTCATGTTCATCACAGAGGATTGGATTAATTGTCCATCAGTCTCTTCTCATGACTGCGTCCTGACACTCTTGTGGTTTACCACTCTCATGTGACTCCTGTGCTAAGTGTAACACCAGGGCTAGCAGATGGGAGATAGAAAGATGCACCAGTGCAAACATACCTGATCAGCAGGCTTGATATGCAATTGAGGATGGAAACAAAAGAAGAGGCACTGTACTCTGTGGGCTGCTGACATACAGTAGACTGACTTCAGCTATAGAAAAACTGTTTTAAAACAAACATTTTAATGATGTTCATAAACAAGGTACTTTAGTTGGCTCTGACATGTAGCATAATATTAGACTTCACTTTATCCAGAGGAAGTTAGACTGTTTCTTGACAGAAGATTTTTAGTTTTTAGAATTTCATAAAAGTTTTAGTCCTTTCTCACTGGCTTTCCATGTGTACATTGGGTTTATCAAATATGAATGTACTCAGGCACATAGGCAGAAACTGACTCTGGACACAACTGAAATAATAACAAACAAAGGGTATATCAGAGTAACTGATGAGACCAAATAGAAAATTAAACTGAACCACTCCCCTGACTAAATCCTTATTTTTATTACATTCTGGAGAACAGAAACTTGTTCTCCTCTAGATAGGCAGAAAATGAGAATATGTAGTAGGTAGATCTTATGTTTGAATTTAATTACTGCTTTTCTCTAATGTTCTCTTATTCTGGGCTATTCAATTTGTGATTTCAATTCTGCTTTCAAATCAGATATTTTTGCAAGAGCTGGAAAATATACAAGTATGTTTAAAATTTATGCATACATACAGACAAAAATACACAACCAAACCTGAGGATCACCATGAAGGAGAAGAGTTGAGTGGTGATTCTCAGTATGAGTTCACAAAATTTAGATTCCAGCAGAGTTGCCTACAGGTTAAATAAATGCAGTTTGTGTTGTTCAAACTAATTTTCACCCAGCTATCACTTGTCTTCATTAATACTGTGTAGATAGGATGGCTCTTATTTTCTTAAAAACTATGATCTAGAAAGGTATGACAATATTTTTTCCTGTTTTTACACATGAAGTGTTAACTTGAGAAGTTTAAATTTTAATTTATTATTGCTTTAAATTGTGAAGTTTAATATTAATAGCAAAAGTATATTTTAGAACATGGTCTTCTGACAGCCATCAGAGTTATCATACAAGAACTAAATTCTATAGTGTAATGTAACAGTCAATTTATAATGTTTATATAGTTTGCCCAGGGGTGCATCTAATATTATTTCTTTCACTTCAAACCAGCCAAAGTCGCTTGTGTAATTCCCCGTTGCGTACATACAGACACACATACAAATCCTGATCTTCAAAATATATGTGCTAAATTCTTAGCGACTAAAAAGTGTCTCAAGTACATGTTATATTAGGTTTCATTTAACATAAAATAGCATTTGTAAAATATA